CGGGGGTCCTGCTGGCGAGCGGCCTGGAATGCGCGTTCGGCCCCGCAGCCCCCCAGGAAAGCAGGACAGAGAGCTCCACTTTGTACAAAACTTTATTATCCGAGGGTCGCAAACAGCTCCGGTCCGGGCAGAAACTATACACACAAACGCACGCGGGCTGGCGGAGCGGCCCCACACAGACGGCGAACGACGGGCGGGCAGGGCTATGGGGGGCGCTATGGGGTGCTCCGGGCAAGACGCCCCTAGGCATAGAGGTCCTCGCGGTCGGCCGAGTAGACCTCTCCTTCCTGGAGGAGGGCGAAGTTGAGGAAGTGGGACGGGCGGTGGACCTCGTGGTAGAACTCCTTGGGGTTGGCCAGCTGCAGCTCGTACTTCATGTTCGGGTCGTGGCGCACGCCTGGAACACGACACAAGCGGGTCACCGCGGCCGCCCCCCAAAGCGGCACCGGGCTCCCAGCGTGCTTCGGGAAAGCCCACAGTGCCTGACCCCACCTGATCCGGGGGGAGAATCCGGACGGGTGCCTGGATTGTCCGAATCTAGGAAAGTCACTGCAAACCGCCCCGAGACCTCCTCTGCCCAGCCTCACCCCCAAACCCACCTTCTCAGCCGTGAAGCGGCTGCTTCCTGCCCCACGGGAAGTGTGGGTCACGAAGGCAGGACCAAAGGAGGCCAGCACAGGCCAGCTTTCCGGGCCCCTTCCTCACCCCTCCCATCCCGGGACAACGTGTCGGGAACACAGCACCTCAGCGCCACGAGCGCCGGACCGGAGGAAAAATAGGGGGCCGGGTCAGACTGCCAAGCAGACCCAGCAGGATCAATGGGACTTAAAGGGGACCGCTGGAAGCGTGACTAGATTGGCTCTGTCTGGATGCAGAGGCAGGCGGACCAAGATGAGAGGAGGGGGCTTGCCTGGGCCGGGTGAGGAGCCCCCCCCCCACGGCTCACCCCCACTCACCCATGAAGTTGTAGTTCCAGGAGCTCTGGGCTGGCACCATGAAGAAGCCCAGGAAGCGGTCCGAGAGCAGCATCTGCACCCTCTCGTAGTGGGAGGGCAGGTAGCCCTTGGGGTTGTTGCCCTTGTCCGTGTTCTGCCGGCCCCACTCGTAGCCGCTGGGGGTCAGCTTGTAGGCCGTCAAGGTGCAGGAGCCCGGGGTGAAACTGCTCGGTGGAAAGGGACTGGGCTGAGGCTCGGTGAGGGAGGCGCGGGTCCCCAGGCATGAGGCCACCCTCTCGCGCCCTGGCCTGGCCTGGCCTGGCCTGGCCTGGCCTGGCCTGGCCTGGCCTGGCCTGGCGGCTCAGAGCTCGGCGCCCGCGGGACTGCCAGGCCCCGCTCCCGCTCCAGCGCACTGACCTGCAGGTGATGATGATGGTCTTCTCCCCGTCCCAGGAGGGGTTCTCGGCCATGACTTTGGCGTGGGTGGTGACGTCCTGCGGGGAGAGCTGGGGAGACTCGTTCGGCTGGGTGTGGATCCACCCCAGGGGCTCCATCTCCTACAGGAGGGGTCAAAAAGCAGAGTCGGTGGTGGGCGGCTCTTCCGAAGGGCCTCGAGGGCGCCACCAAGCCCAGGGTGGCGGCGGCGGCGGCAGCGACTGAGCAGTGTGTGGCCAAGAGGGGAGTGACGTCCCCCGCAAAGGGGGCAGCGAGAGCGGAGTCTGGGGGCTGCGTGGTCCTTCCGCGAAAGAGCGGCCCGATTCCTCTGCCCAGAACAAAGGGACACCTGCCCCGCCCCAAACGCCATGCTCAGGGTGCCCCCAAGACCAACCTTGAGGTACTCGTGCTGCGGCAGCTGCCCAGGGAGGTGAACGGTCTGGTGGGTGCCCCACTGCGGCACCATCACGATGCACCGGATCTCCTTCACCTGCGGGTTGTCCGGGGGGCTCACTCCGTACAGGTAACCGGCAATCTGGGGTGGAGAGGAAACCCAGGCACGTGTGGGCATGAGGACCCCCCCAACAAAGAGCTTTACACCAAGTCTGAAATGAGGGGGCCTTTGGGGCGCATCCGGGAAATCCCGCGCAATTGGAGAAGGCCAAGGAGTGAGCAAGACTGACCAAAGGGCTCGGCCGAACGCAGCGTCCCCAAAAGCCCAAAGGGTGGGAGGGGCAGGACAGAGGCACAAAAAGTATCGGAGACCTTTTCGATCCTCAGTTGCTACCAAGAACACGTTTGCTTGGGAATGGTGCCAATTTCTGGCAAGGCTGCGGCCACGCCGTAATGACCGTTTCCGCAGTGCGGGCTTGTGGTCCTTGTTCTGCCCACTTTGGGGGTCGACTGTGTGCTCTCCCCCAGTTGGTCTCCCCAGGAATAATCGCCCCGCAACGGGAACGCTGGCGGCCCGTGCTTGGGGCAGCGGCGGCAGGTGAGCCGAGGGGGTCGGCGGGGAGCGGGGCGGGGGCGAGGCGCCGGTGCCCGTGGGGAGCCAAAGCTTGCCCCGTCCCTCTGGGGCAGGGGGGCACCTGGGCGCGCAGGTCCGAGATGCAGATGAACTTCTTCAGCACGTTCTTGGGGAGGATGTAGGTGTAGCCGGTCTCCTTGATGTCGTCGGACGAGACGTAGATGTGGTTCGTCCGCAGGTGGAGGTTGGCGGCGGAGATGGCCCTGTGGGGGGGAGGGGCAGCAGGGGGTCAGGGGGCGGGGCTCCGAGCGGCCGGGGCCGCCCCCTGGGCCACGCGGGCCGAGGCTCACCTGACCCGCCACTCCGTCTTTGAGGAGAAGGTCTGCGTCTCGTAGTTGCTGGTGGTGGAGGTGATGATCTCGTCACCGTGCTTGTTCACCGTCCGCGTCTGGGTGGCCGTCAGCTGCGACTGCTCCTTGGTCTGCTTCTCGATCTCGGCGATCTGCTGCCGCTGCTGCGAGGGGGCCGAGATCTCCATGCCCAGGATGATGTCGCGGATCTCGGACTGCGTCAGGGAAGCCACGTTCACGCTGGCGGGGGAGAGGGAGACGGGAAGGCGTGCGGCCGGGAGCGGCATCGCCCAGGCAGGCACGAGGACCCCCCGCCCCCCGTCCCGCCCCGGCCACTCACTTGTTCTTCTTGCCGTAGTCGGCCAGGATGAGGTCCTTCAGCTGCACCTCCACCTTGATCCACTCCTCGTCCGTCAGGGTGGGCCAGATGTGGTGCGGCTCCGTGATGGTGGTCTTGTCCGGCTTCAGGATGACCTTGGCCCGGTCGTTGTTCACATGCAGGGCCCGGAGGATGAGGATGAGGCGGGAGAAGGCCTGCAAGTCGCGGGAGGGCACTGAGCACGCCACCAAGACGCCCCGCTTCGGGGGACCCGTGGGCCGCTGCCCAGAGGGACTGTGTCTGCCGGGGCGCTGCACCGGCAGAACCTCCGCCACGTCCCCCCAGCCTCACCGTGTAGGAGGAGATCGTCTTCAGCCAGTCGTCGTACAAGTTGAAGAGTACCATCTGGGGCTCGGTGGCCTTCAGGATGAGGTCCCCAAACTTCTCCACCTTCAGGCAGGCCTGGAAGGGCAGCTGCAGCTCGGAGCCTTTGATCACAATGTTGGGGAAATCCAGCAAGTGCACCTGCGGGGGAGGCCGGCGGCTCAGGAATGGCGGAGGCCTCAGGGCGCCCGGCTCCCCTGCTGGCCCAGCAGCCCAGAGGAGGCGCCCGCGCAGGGCCTGCCACCCGCCACCCCTCGCTGGGGAACGGCCACCCGGCCCTGCCCACCTCCAGGGGGTCCAGCATGCCCTTCCGCGTGACGATGATCTGCTTCGGCTGCTCCTCCACAGGCAGCGACCGGATCAAGGCTGCCACCTCCTCGGCCGTCTTCCACTTGGCCAGCTGCGGGGGAGAGCAGGGGGCCCCAGTGAGCCGGCCGGCTGGCTGGCTGGCTGGCTGGCTGGCCGGCCGGCCACTCAAGCGCCCACTCCTGGCCCCAGCCCCTTACCTGCCCCAGGCGCTTCTGCCCTGCCCACACCGAGGTGTGGATGATCTTCAGGAAGAGCTGCCCAGTCCGGGGGTTGAAGATGAAGATGGCCCCATTGATGGGCTTGGTGGTCAAGTTCCCTTCGAAGGTCTAGGAGAGAAATCGGCGGCCTGAGCAGCACTTCCACCCCGCCGGCCAAGGGCGCTTGGGATGGAGGGGGCGGAGCGAGCCCGCCGAAGCCCCGCCCACGCCACGCCACGCCAGGCCAGGCCCTCACCTTGTGGATGGTGACCCTGTACACGTTGGTGTCGTCCACGAACCAGATGATCTGGTTGGAGAACAGCTCCCCGTAGTTCTGCGAGGACAGGTAGGGCTCGGTGGGCTCCGAGGAGTAGAGCTGTAGCCCCTTGCGGATCCGCTCGCGCAGCACGTACAGGGCCGGGTTCGCCTTCATGATCTTGGCCATGGCCTGCTGGATCAGGGGCTTGCTCCCAGGGAACCAGTTCCCGTAGGCGCTGGGCGGGGGGGCACAGAAACGTCTCAGAGCCCGGGGAGGCAAGCCAGCCCCGGCACCCAATAGCTGGACCCCACCCCACACTTCGTTATGGCTTCATTAATTTCTCTCCTCTCCCTGCTAAAGGCCCTGCACAGCTGTGAAAGCGACACACCTCAACACAATACAAGCATAGTGGCAGAAACATTAACAACCGCCAGTGTCGATTATTAAATCTCTCTCA